CTCTGGTGGTGTCACTGTGTATCCCAGCACAGCACAGTGATGTCCTCAGAAGTGTCCCAGTCCCCCACATTGGGGACACAAAGGCAGGTTGCAGCACTGTGGCTTCCACATGTGCCAGGCAAGGCCTCAGCCCAGTGCAGCTGTACTGGGATAACTGGGGGAGCGCTGCCCCATGGCATGCACCCTGGCACTGGTACAGGAGGCTGGGACACCCAGCCCCGGGCACTTGGCTTGTGTGGGTGCTGTGGGCAGGTGCCTCCAGCGGCATCACCTGTTGGCATTTGTGCTCCTGTGGTGATGCGGTGTCCTGCTGTACCTGTACCAGTGGGCACCATCACCAGGCACTGTGTCCACAGCCCCTGCCATGGTCCTGTTCAGTGCCACCCTACAAGCACCACCCCACAGCCCACCAGGGGTGCCCCCAGCCTGGCACTGACTTCCAGCCCCCCCCAGATATCTACCCCAAACCCAGCAAGGCCAAGACATGCAAATCCCACTGAAGTCCAGGGGAGGATACAGGGACACAGCCTCGCGCCTGCAGCTGCAAAGAAGAGGCAGGGAGCCAGGTAGGCAATAGCTCTGGTTTTAATAAATACATCGGGCCCCCCATCCACAGGCACCATAAATTACATGACGAGCCTGGCCGAACCAGGGTGGGTGCAGCGAGATAGGGGCAGGAAAGACTTTACACTATGTACAAGGTGGGGATGATGCCCCCTGCGCCCACTGGTCAGGGGGGCTCAGAGCAGGAGGGCAGGGGGTGCCCCAGCCTCCACCAGCCTGGCCATTGCCTGCTGGCACAAGCCCTGGCACCATGGCCATGCTGAAACGAGGTGCCCAGGCTGACCGCGTCCACCCCACCGTGCTCCTCTATGCCCCCTGAGGTGGCGATGGGTGGCAGGGACCTCCCCAAAGCCGCCGGGCCTTGCTGTGTGCTCGCTCTGCTTTGGGCAGCAGTCACTGCTCAGTGGCTCCATGCCTCCGCCCTGGCATCGTGGACCTTCTCCCGTGGATCCGGGGGGGCATCCGGAGCTGTGGGAAAATGGGGCTGAGACACGAGCATGGCAGTGCCAGGAGGGCACTTGGGTCAGTTCCAGTGCTGGTTTAGCATCCAAGGCGGCTCGAGGAGGTGTTGGGGGAGTCCGTGAGGTGTTTTGGGAAGCAGTGCTTACTCACCACGGCACTTGGCACAGCAGGGGTTGTCCCTCCTGGCGGGGTTGGCGCAGGCGGCTGGCGGGCACTCCTGGCGCTGGCAGTGCGTCTCCCCTGACTGCGAGCAGAAAGAGG